GGAAAAGGAAAGAGAGTTCCACAGGAAAGGTGCAGCCCTAGAGAAGTCTTGAAGGCGAGCATCAGAGGTGGGAGTACGAACAGAGGATAGATGCAGGTCTTCGGCAGAGCGTAGGGGCCTAGACGGGACATACTTGTGTGTTAAGGAGGATATATAGGTGGGAGTAGCATTATGTAGAGATTTGAAAGCAAGAACCAGAATTTTATATTGAATCCTATATCTTATGGTAAGCCAATGCAGGGACTGACAGAGGGGTGAGGAGTGGGAGGTGCAGGCAGACAGGAAGATGAGCCTCGCCGCTGCATTCATTATCGACTGCAATGGGGCAAGTTGGGAGCACGTAAGACCACTGAAAAGGGTATTGCAGTAGGAAAGGAGAGAAAGGGCAGTGGCATGGACCAGCACCTTAGCCGCATCTGGCGTTAAGTAGGGGCGGATGCACACAATGTTTTTGAGATGGAGGTATATTTAACAAGGAGCCTCCATGGAAACCAGCTGGCTCTGCAGGCACAATCCATTTTTTGTTAATTTTTGCACCATTGTTTAGAACAGAACACTTTGTTAAATCTCATCCATTGTATCATGCTTTACTTTTATTTTCTTATACATAATACTCCAACATATTCCATAGGGCTGTACAATGGGATTTTAGTATGTATACCCCACTCTTTCTGCAAACAAATTATACATTTATAACTTTTATTAAAAAAAAGCCAAGCTGGCAAGCTGGTTTTTATGGTGTATCCTAGTAAATATGTGTTAGGACTCCCAACTCCAGATAGCAAGTCTTAAAATAGTCTAAGAATATTTTTTGTGAATTTATCTTAGATATGTATATACCATCCATTCACATGCTGAAACTGAAAGGAATAAATATACTATATTTTTCCTATTTCATTTAATGCATAATTAAATAAAGCGGGACAGTTGGTCTCCTATAAAAAAAAAAAAAAAAACATTCTGCAGTAGGACCTGCCTTGTTTCCTCTATGTTTGTTGTCTGGATGATAGAAATGGAAACTATGTATTGTTAAACCTTGGGGGAATTTTTATGAGCCAGCCATATAAATTATATTGATAAGATTCCAGACATCAAGTTCTCATTTATTATTTGTATAATGACTGAGTATCAGTAGGTTCCCACAAATAAAGAAGCTGTAATAGTCAGCATAAAAATGTCAAAGTAGCACAAAGGTGCTGTATAAAAAGTTAAACTGAACATACCACAAAGCCAACAGAACTACAGCAGATGGTTTCTTGTAACTGTCTTGAAGTGAAATGCAAGATCTGCCTAAATCTCACCTGGTTGCCTACATTATTATTTCTTATATAACACCATCTTATTCTGTAGCATTTTATAATATTATGAAAAAGGGAATTTAACAACAAATTAGATAAAGTATTGTTTCAAAGTATATAAGTAAAGAACATTTGACAGTAACAATTCATTGATGAGGACCCTGCCCGAATGAGCTTACAATCTAGAGGAGCTGGGGTATAAAAACACAATATGAAGAACAGTCTGGGCATAGCAACCAGGTGACAGGGTGGAAAAGTAGTAATGTTGGAAGGTGAGAGTGAAGTGGACAATGGATCCACTAATTAAGTTGCAAGAGTAAGATATAGGTAATGCCAGTTACCCCAAGAGGCCATGGGCTTTTCTGAAGAGGTGGGTTTTTAGGGACTTCTTAAAGAATTGGAGACTAGGGTAAAGTTTGATGGCGGGTGGGGGAGAGAGGGAGGGGGAGAGAGGCCATTCCATACCAATGGAGCTGCCCACTAGAAGTCCTGTAAAAGTGAGTTAGCCATACAAACAGTTGAAGGTCACCTGCTGAGCAGTGTGGCCGAGAACGGGTGTTTCTATAATTTAGATAAGAAATAAAGTGGGTGGTAGGGTTGTTTCGAGCTTTGTAGATAAGAGTTCATATTTGAAATTTAATCGAATAGGGTACGGGAAGTCAAAGTTACAAAGGACAAAGGGGTTTCTAGAGAGACCAGCTTGGAAATAATTACATTAGACAATGTGAGAAATGTTCAATGTATTGCACTTTCATTTAACAAAATACTGTTTAGTTTTAAGATTTAATAAAAATGAAACATAAATGTTTTACATATGAAATAGCACATAATGGGAAAAAAGACCGACAGAGAGAGCAGGGGCGTCACTAGGGGAGGCAAGGACCCCTTACATCATTCAGTGACCCTCCTTGTGCCCCCCCCCCCAATTGAAATGTGAAACACTGAGTCACTGTGGAACTGTGTTCCACCCTTTTCCCATGTGCAACCAGAGGGGACTCTGTGCCGGGAGGAACTTCCTCCTGGGTCACAGAAAGCAACGCAGGGGAGAGACAGGGAGAGGAAGCTCAGCTCTGCACAGAGTCAGTGTTTGTGATTCAGTCTGTGCGTGTGAGGAAGGGGGCGTCAGTCTTTGTGTTTTTTTGGGGGGCTCAGTCTGTGTATGGGGGGCTTAGTCTGGGTATGTGTATGGGTCAGTCTGAGTGTGGGGGGCTCAGTCTGTGTGTGTGTGTATGGGTCAGTCTGTGTATAGTGTCATGTGTGTGGGTCAGTTTGTGTATTGGGGGCTCAGTCTGTGTATGTGTATGGGTCAGTCTGTGTGTGGGGGCTTGGTCTGTATATGTCGGAGGGTCAGTCTGTGTGTGTATGGCTCAGTCTGTGTGTGGGGGGCTCAGTCTGTGTATGGGTCAGTATGTGTGTGGGGGTGGGCTTTCAGTCTGTGTGTGTGTGGGGGTCAATTTGTGTGTATTGGTCAGTCTGTGTGGGTTGGTTCAGTCTTTGTGTGTGGGGGCTCAGTATGTGTATGGGTCAGTCTGTGTGTGGGGGCTTGGTCTGTATATGTCGGAGGGTCAGTCTGTGTGTGTATGGGTCAGTCTGTGTGTGGGGGTGCTCAGTCTGTGTGTGGGGGGCTCATTCTGTGTATGTGTATGGGTCAGTATGTGTGTGGGGGTGGGGTTTCAGTCTGTGTGTGTGGGGGTCAATTTGTGTGTATTGGTCAGTCTGTGCGTGGTGGGTCAGTCTGTGAGTGTTGGGGGGAGTCAGTCTGTCTGTGTGTATGGGTCAGTCTGTGTAAGTGCTTGAGCTCCAAGAGAGAGAACTCTCATCTCATGACCTCCCCTGTGCCCGATGGATAGGCAGCCTTCTCAACCACCACGGATCTGATTGTGCCACCTCCTCCCTGCAAGGTAGGATCAGGGAAAGGGGAGTATTCTTTTTTTTTTTAAAGCAATTATTAAAGTAAAAATTGTAAAGCTCTTCCCACTTTCTACACCCCCCTGTACACCCTCACAGACCGTGAACCCCCCATACAGTACACTCCCACCAAAACAGAGTACACCTTTGCATATACACACAGTGCACCCCTCACACACATCATCTCTTTCCCCACATCCACACTTCTTCCCCACATACCTTCACCCCCACACACAAATACATACATACATACATGCTTCACCTCATTACACATCAAATCTCTACCTTTGGGAGAGCTGAGTCGATCCTTCCCTGGCGTCCCGTGTGTCTTCTCTCAATCTTCCTGCAGTTTCTCTCTGCTCCTCTGCGCGCTCTCTGGAGTGATGCAAAGGCCGGTGTTACGTAGTGTCACTAAACAGCGCGCAAGGGAGCAGAGAGGAACTGCAGGAAGGTTACTGCTCCCTTGCATGCCGCCTCCATGCAAAGGGCTTACAAATGCCAGGTGCCAGGGTGAAATGTCTACTTGCCATGGCAACCTGGCGCTTGGAATTTGTCAAGCCCTGTGTATGTATGTGTGAGTGTATATATATATAAACAAAATAATGATTTCTGGCACTCTTCCCTCTTAAACTGAAAAACTGTTTCTAAAGAAACCAAGGTGCTTCTCAGTGCATATCATATCTCAAAGGAATAACAAGAGCACTCAATGGATTTGAAAATGAAAAAATGTGTATATTCACAGTTGCATAAATCGATCAACGTTTCGGCTAACAAACCGGTTACATACACACACACACACACACATATATACACACGTTTTATAGCTGCAACCCTAAGTATGAATCCTGGAGACACCACTGAGAGACAGAGAGAGAGAGAGAGTGAGTGAGAGCAAGAGAGAGAGATGGGAGCTATTAGATTAGGGAGATGGCACTGCCATTCTCCTGTTATTAAAGAGTCCTGGGGCGGTTTTTAATATGTATTTACCGCTGTGTCCAGCAAGTGGGTTTGATTATCTATAATAGTGTATGTTGGTTGAAAATACATTGTAATAAAATAAATCATTACACATATTCTTCCAGGAACACAAAAAAAATCAGTAAAACTAATTCTCAATAATCATAGCTGTAGTTCCTCACATGGCAGGGACAGCCACAAATACAGACCTCCTTCTAGATTTTACTCTACAATCAGCTATGCATTTATATCCACATTACACCAGTAACATAATCAGACACCAAGGACTGAAGCCAGAAGAGAATGTTCCCGCTCTTGCTAAATGTGATGTTTGATCAGGTCAACTATAAATGTCAGCTTACCTCAAAATAAAGTGCTTTAGGCAGATCCTTTGTCTGCTCAATAACAGGGAATCTGGCTCTAAGTGTACATGTCGATGCAGGTTTTCCTGTGAGATTACATCCTTAGAGCTACTGGTAAAATATGAATGAAAAAAAAACAAAAAAAACTAAGAATCTGCAAATCTTACAATGAACAGTAGATATACAGGTAGCAAATGCATTACACAGGAATTCATGCTAGCCCTAGGAATTTATATTTAATCCCGCAGAATAGTTGGTTCTTGCATGTTTTAGCACATCGGGGGTTGTTAAATGACTGACACACAGTGCTTTTTTATGGGGGTACTTCCCAGCACTAAGTACTGTAAGCTATGTGACTATATTAAATGAAAACATAATAAAGATGTAGAACCTTTTTTTAAACTGGTATAGTACACTAGCCAGATTTTTCTTTAATTAAACACTGTTGATGAAAAAGGAAAATAGTTTGACTAAAAAAAAAGAAAGAAATCCCAGACATTCTGGGATGACAAAGTTAGGCAGTTTCACTTCATAATTTCTTCAAAATATTCAGTAAGGATGTGAAAACTCTGAATCACCATTACTGACACAGTTTCCCAAGGTCCCTATCAACCTGTACAAATATTTTATTCTTGTTAGAAAGGAATTAGACTTCTTTGTTATGACATTCTGAGCTGAGGGGACAGGCTTTGGATGCTGAGAAACATACATTTATTTCTGAGAAACTGCAATAATTACCTCTGAGGGTTAACTCCTCCTCTAGTGGCTGTCTATCAAACAGCCACTAGATGGACTTCGGGAATCGAAAGGGACCTTTGGTCCGTTATCTGACGCTGGACATCATCACGCTCTGCATGAGGACCTCCAATGTCAGATTTTTCCTCATTGGAAAGCATTTAATAATGTGCATTAGGTTTCCCTCTGCCAGCTGAAGTCTGCGCGGATGGAGCGTGGGCGGAGCCTGACTTTGTGCCGAGAGACATCGGCGCTGAATTCAGGTAAGTGACTGAAGGAGTTTTAACCACTTCAGCACCGCGGGTTTGTTTTCCTTGCACTATAGAATCCCTTTAAAGTATCCATTTAAAGGAATACAAACATGCACTCCTGATAATTTAGTTTCAATTGATCTGTAATGTCCATAAATGATCTGTAATAATCATGATCTTAAAGTTTGAAATGTACTTACCTTTCGCTGGTCTATGTCCTGTTGGCACACCTCCTTGGTGATCTCAGCCAATCTAACGCTTTTCCATTAGGAAACTAGTGAGCTTTTGCAGCAAAATGCAGTGCTGCACCAATCAGATGATAAATCTCTATGAGACCATCCGACTGAAAATCCAGAGTTTCACTATTTTGGCGGAAGTATCTCTTGTGACGGTCAGTGTGACAGCAACAATAGGCATTTAAATTCTGCAATGTGAACGTTACCATTACGACCGAATGGCAATGTTTTCAGCTGCAGAAATAAAACTACTACATGATCTGGAAGAGTTTAAAGGGACTCTATAGTCACCTGAACAACTTTAGCTTAATGACGCAGTTTTGGTTTATAGAACATGCCCCTGGAGCCTCACTGCTCAATCCTCTGCCATTTAGGAGTTAAATCCCTTTGTTTATGAACTCTAGTCACACCTCCCTGCATGTGACTTGCACAGCCTTCCATAAACACTTCCTGTAAAGAGAGCCCTATTTAGGCTTTCCTTATTGCAAGTTCTTTTTATTTAAGATTTTCTTATCCCCTGCTATGTTAATAGCTTGCTAGACCCTGCAAGAGCCTCCTGTATGTGATTAAAGTTCAATTTAGAGATTGAGATACAATTATTTAAGGTAAATTACATCTGTTTGAAAGTGAAACCAGTTTTTTTTTTTTTATGCAGGCTCGGTCAATCATAGCCAGGGGAGGTGTGGCTAGGGCTGCATAAACAGAAACAAAGTGATTTAACTCCTAAGTGACAGTAAATTGAGCAGTGAAATTGCAGGGGAATGATCTATACACTAAAACTGCTTTATTTAGCTAAAGTAATTTAGGTGACTATAGTGTTCCTTTAAATGCCTGAAATGTCTGGAGGAGTTTAGGAGCATAAGTATGCTGAACGGGGACCTGTGGTTCACTGGGAAAGTTCCAGATAAAATAGTAAGTCAGGAGACTTTTACATACAGCGGACGAACAGTTCCGGGTTATCGAAACACTACCGGGAGTCCTAAGATGGCTCCCGGGAAGTATACTCAAGGGAGCCATCAGTCCAATGGAGCCAGAAATGATGTGGGGCGCTCAAGGGGGCGTGCCACGGGGAAATGTTCTGTGACAAATTTACATTTAAAAATGGAAAGACATGAAAGAAGGCACCTGATGAAGGCATTCATGTAATATGTTTGTAATAAATTGATATATTTCATCCTAGCTTGCTGCCTATTATCACTATTGTATGACTGCTAAGAGGAAATCCATTCTTAGAAGCCATCACATCCTACCAAAACTGATTGATTTACCTGAGCTAGTCTAGTGCAGGCTCAGTAAAATGTGAGTAGGATGCAATAAAATCATATATATTTTTCTTTCATTGGTATTTTATACAGACTATATTACCCTATTGTGAGCATTTCTTTTCTGCAGAACAATTAGACACAGTTCCTATGCAGTGTATGTATAGAAACATAGAAACATAGAATGTGACGGCAGATAAGAACCATTCGGCCCATCTAGTCTGCCCAACTTTCTAAATACTTTCATTAGTCCCTGGCCTTATCTTATAGTTAGGATAGCCTTATGCCTATCCCATGTATACTTGTTACTTTTTCTATTATGCACAAGAGTGACACATTGGTTCACATCCATTAATAGTGTGCTACCCTCTTTGTTTGTACTTCAGTTTATACCGGTACTTGTCTTTGTGAAATTGTGTGATTGATTTCACAGTGGTTTTCAGCTGCCCTGTTTTATTTGGTGACATAGCGTCGCTTTTATACCACATTTCTTTTTCTTTTTTGCATGATCTGGGTGCCTATAGTGTCCCTTTAAAGTTGACACTTGTTTTGCTAAAACTATTGTGATCTAATATTGTGAGCTGCATTTAAATAATTACATTTACAATTATTTATATAGCACCAACATGTTCCGCAGCGCAGTACAATGGATAAAACAAGACAAACAATTCTAACAAAACACATTTGACACACATGAGCAGTGGAGAAAGAAAAACGTTTAAATTCTCAGTAAATACTAAGAATGTTAAAATTGTTGACGTATGAGTAACATGAAAACTAGAAATTTTTTTTTCAGTTTGCTGTTTGATCCATTAAAAAAGCGTGCCTGTTGGCAGTCTGAGACCTGACACACATGTATATCATAAAACAGGAGCTTGAAGTCAGACACACATGAGCAGAGGCAGGGAAGTGTGTCAGGCACACGCAGACTAAAAGACACACAGCCAGGAGTGAGGAATGAGAGATCGGAGCAGATATGGATTCTCTACAAGACAATTGCCCCCTCTGTAGGGCGGACCAGTGCTTGTAAATGTATACACATAGATTTTGCTCTATCTGAAGCACTGGGCGTTGGTGGAAACACAGAAGATTAACCCTTTCAAGGCTTAGGTTTTAAATCAGTGCTTCCCTGTGTGAAATGTTAAAGTGCAGCCCTTTATTTTAATATTCACAATTAAATTTAATGTCTAATTAATGAAATTGAATAAGAATATTAGAAAAAAACAGTTCTCAAGACCTACCAACAATCCAGGATTTATGTATCTTCCTGTTTTATTCCAATAGAGATACAAAACCTAGACTGTTGGTGGGTCTTTGGGATTGGTTTGGGAAACACTGCTCTAACACATGCTGTCACAGACAAACTCAGACTCTCTGACACATGTACTCACATATACACTCGTACTTTCTAACACATGCACTCACAGAGACACTGAGACTCTCTGACACATGCACTCACAGACACACTCATACTTTCTAACACATGCACTCACAGACACACTCAGACTCTCTGACACATGCACTCACAGACACACTGAGACTCTCTGACACATGCACTCACAGACACACTCACACTCTCTAACACATGCACTCACAGACACACTCAGACTCTGTGACACATGCACTCACAGACACACTGAGACTCTCTGACATATGCACTCACAGAGACACTGAGACCACTGGCGGATCCAGGGGGGGGGGGGGCAACGGGGCAACTGCCCCCCAGAGGCTCTCCCCTGCCGGCTAATGCAGGGCTGGCATTGTCCAAGTGCCAGCCCTGCAATGTGCCTGCAGACCGGGGAGGGAGATCAGAGAAGTCCATCTAGTGGCTGTTTGATAGACAGCCACTAGAGGAGGAGTTAACCCTCAGAGGTAATTATTGCAGTTTCTCAGAAATAAATGTATGTTTCTCAGCATCCAAAGCGTGTCCAGTCAGCTCAGAATGTCATAACAAAGAAGTCTAATTCCTTTCTAACAAGAATAAAATATTTTTACAGGTTGATAGGGACCTTAGGAAACTGTGTCAGTAATGGGGATTCAGAGTTTTCACATCCTTACTGAATATTTACTGAAGTGAAACTGCCTAACTTTGTCATCCCAGTATGTCTGGGATTTCTTTCCCTTTTTTTTAGTCAAACTATTTTCCTTTTTCATCAACAGTGTTTAATTAAAGAAAAATCTGGCTAGTGTACTATACCAGTTTAAAAAAAGGTTCTACATCTTTATTATGTTTTCATTTAATATAGTCACATAGCTTACAGTACTTAGTGCTGGGAAGTATCCCCATTAAAAAGCACTGTGTGTCAGTCATTTAACAACCCCCGATGTGCTAAAACACAGAGATCTCCCTCCCCAGTCCGCAGGCACTGTGCTGACAGCCGGCAGATGGAGGAGAGAGGACCCGGGAGCTCAGCCTGCTGCTCCTCCGGGTCCTACTCTCGCGAGCACGGAGCGTTGCCACGGCAACGCTCCAAATCTCGCGAGAGTGGAATCTAGCCCTGGAGCAAAGGGCTAGAGTTCACCTCACCACCACTGGGACCACCAGGGAATCCCCACCGGACCACCAGGGAGGAGAAATTTCCCCCCTCCTCCTCAATAATGGTAAGAAGGGAGGGGGGACATAATTATATTCATTTTATTAAATAAAAAAATAAATTAAAAAGCCTCCCTACCCTCCTTCCCCCCATACACACACTGCACACCCACAGACACATTTCCCCCCACACACATTGCCCCCCATACACACACTGCCCTCCATACACACACTGCCCTCCATACACACATTGCCCCAAACACACATTGCCCCAAACACACACTGCCCCACACATACATACAGTGCCCCCATACACACACTGCCCCCCATACACACATTGCCCCACACATACATACAGTGTCCCCCATACACACACTGCCCCCATACACACATTGCCCCATACACACACTGCCCCCCATACACACATTGCCCCATACACACATTGCCCCATACACACACACTGCCCCCATACACACATTGCCCCATACACACATTGCCCTCCATACATACATTGCCCCACACATACATACAGTGCCCCCATACACACACACTGCCCCACACACTCACACACTGCCCCACACACACATACAGTGCCCCCCATACACACACTGCCCCAAACACACATACACTGCAACTCTCACACACACTGCCCCCTCACATACACTGCCCAGAACACACACACTGCAACCCTGACATACACTGCCGCCCTCACGCACACACTTCACCGCTCACACACACACTGCACCTTTAATAAACACTTCACCCCTAACACTGCTCCTAAGCCCTATATCCCAGCAGACCCCAGGTAAGTTGTCAAACTGTTCTTAAACGGTTTGACTACTTACTCTGGGATGGGATCCTGGCATTACTGGCACCATAACTACTACACTGAGCTGTAGTGGTTATTGTGTCTGGATTATTTCTTTAAATAATCTACAAGTGCCCCTCCTGAGATCAGGTTCTGGATCTGCCACTGACTGAGACTCTCTGACACATGCACTCACAGACACACTCATACTTTCTAACACATGCACTCACAGACACTGCACACTCTCTGACACATGCACTCACAGACACATGCACACTCTCTGACACATGCAATCACAGACACACTGAGACTGACACATGCACTCACATACACACTCATACTTTCTAACATATGCACTCACAGACACACTCAGACTTGCACAAATCAGAACCATAATTAGAAACAGACATGCTCAACCATTGTGCATTTTGGCTGGTTCGTAATTCAGGCACATTTCGGCCCAGAGTTTAAAATTTGACCAATCATTCAATCTGCCAAAACCCGGACAAACTGCAT